GAGGAAATCAATAGTATATATTATTGCTTGTCAGAAAATACCCAAATTGTATTTTAAGTGTTAAAACTGAAGGGGTTGCCAACAGTGTAGTGGCATAAGGAGGAGGATTCTAGCTCAATTGTTGCAAATATAGAAATAGAAAGGTTACCTTTGATTCTGAAGATTGCATTATAAATAGTAGATGTTAATGTGGTGGTTTTAGATATTCTTTATTTTTAAGTCACCAAAAATTGCCTTTTATTTTTACAGTTTTGAACTCTATAGTTCTTGACATATTTTGAATAAAGTTTTTATCAACTAAAATTTTTCATGTACATTATTATCAATAAATCAATTGTGATTAAAATACATATAAAATTTAATAACCTAAGTACAGTAATTAAAATTCAAGATTCAAAGAATATCTTTCATAGAAATGGTAAGTTTTTATACAGGAATCCTTTTGCTGTTTTGTAATAGCAAACAGCATTATAATGAAATAATAAGTGTTAATGCAGAAAAATTGAGAAATGGCAAAAATAGAAAAAATACAGGAATCCTTTTGAAAAAAATCATAATAATAAAAGGCCAAGAGGCTTCATGACCAAAATGACCAAACGACCAGCCAGCAAGAGGTGCATGGAGCACCTCTTGGGCCCTCCCCGACGGCCCACAGGCTCTGATGGTAGCAAGGCTGGTGGCTGGTGGGCGGGGCAGCAGGTGGGTGGGCACAGTGATGTGGGTGCAGCTGCAAGAGGGGCTGTGAGAGCGGTAGGCGGGTGGGCAGGGCGGGGCCACACAATATCACGCGCTGGGCCTCTAGTATTTTAATAATAGTAGCAAAAGTACTTTTATACATAAGCAGTATTGGAAATGTTTTTTAAAACGTGACAAGTTACATATTATAATGCTTTTATTAAAAAATGTTTTTGTTGATTTTGAGAGAGAAAGAGAGAGAAAGGGAGAGGGAGAGAGAGAACATCGAAGAGACAGAACCATCTATTGCAGTGATGGCGAACCTATGACACGCGTGTCAGAGGTAATACGCAAACTCATTTTTTTGGTTGATTTTTCTTTGTTAAATGGCATTTAAATATATAAAATAAATATCAAAAATATACATCTTTGTTTTACTGTGGTTGCAAATATCAAACATTTTTCTATATGTGACACGGCACCAGAGTTAGGTTAGGGTTTTTCAAAATGCTGACACGCCGAGCTCAAAAGGTTCGCCGTCACTGATCTATTGGCTGATTCCTGCACACCGCCTACTGGGGATCAAGCCTGAAACCCAGGCATGTGCCCTGACCAAGAATCGAACTGTGAACTCTTGGTTCATGGGATGATGCTCAACCAACTAAACCGCATTGGACAGGGCTTCATTTTTCAGTGAAGTTAAATTTATTCCACTTATAGAAATTTACTTAATTCTTTTTTTTATTGTCTAAAGTTTTACATATGTCTCCTTTTTCCCCAATTGACCCCCTCCCCCTTCCCTTCCCAGTCCGGGTAAGCCCCCACCACCTTAGTGTCCATTGGTTATGCTAATATGCATGCATATAAGTTCTTTGGTTTACTTAATTCTTGATTAACCTTTAGATATTAAAATGTGTTACGGCCAAAGGTGATCCTGAGTGGGGGAGTGAAAGGATTGAGAAAAGACAGACAAGAGAATGAAAGCTGGGTCTCGGTGGGACGCTGCTCCCTGATGAGGAGATAGCGCCAGCGCCCACAAGCCCTGTCTTTATTTTATAGCAGATGCCACGAGGCAAAGTAGGGGCATGATCAAGTTGTTTACAGCATCCTCATGGGTTTCAACCCTGCTCAACTACATGCACCTGAACTCTAGCACAAGGCACGTGGGGACAACCATAGCTGTTGGCTATGATTGTGCTGGGAGGGCCCTGCCCTCCAGCCAGGACTTGCATGTGGCAATGAGAGGACCCTGTCCTTTCATTAGTCCGAAGCTTGAACCTGGCCAAAACACTGTAGCCGCACCCCACAAAAATGTCCTTTTATGAAATGATTTTGGTGTTAGGTGATAACTTTTCATGTGGTTATTTACCAAAAAAGAAGAAGAAGAAGAAGAAGAAGAAGAAGAAGAAGAAGAAGAAGAAGAAGAAGGAGAAGGAGAAGGAGGAGGAGGAGGAGGAGGAGGAGGAGGAGGAGGAGGAGGAGGAGGAGGAGGAGGAGGAGGAGGAGGAGGAGGAGGAGGAGAAGGAGAAGGAGAAGGAAGAAAGAAAGACAAGAAAATTTAGCACCTATGGTAGACCCCTAATTTTTTTTTTTTTTTTTTTTTTTTTTAGGGATGAATAATTTACTGGTCTATAATATCCTAAAGTCTGGAAACCACTTTTAAAAAATTATTGAGATACCATAAAAGTCATCCTTTTAAAGTATAAAATTAAGTGGTTTTTAGTATATTCAGAGAATTGTGGAACCATCACCACAATCAATTTTAGAATATTTTCATTACCCCAAAAAGAAATCTGCTCTTATCCAATGCTCAACCCTCCTCCCCGGGCCCTGGCAACCAGCAGTCTGTCTCTGTGGATTTACCTAGTCTGGACATTTCATATGAATGGAATCATATGTAATATGCGGTCCTTTGTTCCTGGCTTCTTTGACTTAGCATAATTCTTTCAAGGCTCATCCATGCAGTAATATTATTTTATGCCAAATAACATTCCACTGCATGGACATACCACATTTTATTCATTCACCAGTCCAGTTGTTTCAGTTTTGGAAGTAATTATGAATTATTTTGACTAATTCTGCTATACACATTCACATACAAGTCTTTGTGTGAACCTGTGTTTATTTCACTTGCATTTATACCTAGGAATGGAATAGCTGGATCATATGGAAACTCTATGGCATAGCCTTTCTGAAGAACTGTCTTCTAAAGCTGCTGCGCCATTTTACATTCCCACCAACAGTGTAGGAGGGGTCTAGTTTTTCCACATTCTCAGCAACACTTGTTATCTGTCTTTAGATTATAGCTATCCTAGTAAGAATGAAGTGCTATCTCATTGTTTCTTATTTCAATCTCCCTAATGGCTAATGATGTCTGTTTTCTATAATCCTTTAAGAATGTAAAACCATTCTTAACTCCTGGGCCATATAAAAACAGGCTGCATACTAGATTTGCCCTCCAGTTAGCCAACGTCTGACTTAGAGGATAGAATTAATAGACAAACGCATTAAAATGGTACTATAAATACACCGTGTTCAAGAAGGTAGAGGAAAGAATGAGCCTGTTGGAGGTAGATATGGGATATCAAAAAAGAATGTGCGGCCCTCACTGGTGTGGCTCAATTGGTTGGGCGATAACCTGTGCACCAAAAGGTTGCTGTTTTGATTCCTGGTCAGGGCACATGCCCAGGTTTCAGGCTCAATCCCTGGTGAGAGGTGTGCAAGAGGCAGCCAATGGATGTTTCACTCTCATATGGATGTTTCTCTCTCTCTCCCTCTCTCTAAAAATCAATAAAAAATATTTAAAATAAAATAACGTGCACAGTGGAGTGCTAATAAGTCTGCTCACTGGATTAGATAAGGAACCTTTGTTTGCAGCATTTGTTGAGTTTGATGCTATAAATATTTACACCATGGACAATTTTGAGCTCATGATAGGACAGCACTGAACCTGAAGTTGGAAAAGGACATGCACAATTCACACTGCCAGTGGTGCCAGCTGACCAGCACATCACTGACATCAAACATCTCTAATTGTGCACGTATGACATAGAGTAAGCAGGGAAGACAGCTCCCATCTTCAGGGCTTTCATTGGTTTTCTCCTCCACCCCTACAACCAATCAGTAGAAAGGAGAGTATCTGTCCCCGACCATTGTATTGTTAGACTTCCAAATAGCCTCCGGCTCTTTCTCATCCATCATTGCTTTGGAATCATAGCTACATTTCCACATGCACCCTTCCCAGAATGTCAAAAACATATTGGAATAAAGTCAAAGCCTCATTACAGAAACATGTTTGATTGTGATTTAGTCAAATTCATTTTTCAAAGAAATAAAGGGGGATATACTTTGATCCATCCAGAAGACTTCCTGGAAAATATATTTTAGCTGAGTGTTGAATGGATAAAAAATGTCCAGGTAAACAGAAGAGCAGACATTCTACACATATAAATGGTTTGTGCAAGAGTTCCAAGATGGGGGTTAAAAAAAAAAAAATGGGAAGGCTATGTCTCTGGTTAGAGATGCAATTGTAAACTCTTGCAATCAGATATTTTCCCTGTTTCTTCTCCCAAGAGGTTTTGGGAAAAGCCTTAACTTTAGATTTATGTTTTCACCAAAAAGGACAATGTAAGGGAAAGAAAAATTTTCCTTCCATAGCCCTTGAAATTGCTACAAGAAGGCTCTAGAGAAATTAGATAGTGACTCATCCACAAAATAAGTCTACTATGTTTCCAAATTGGTATTAGTTCATGAACTGTGTTTAATAACCCATTGTCTTGTCCACAATCTCCTGGGCCTCCCCCTACTTTTTTTCCCAATCCTCACCTGAGGATATAGTCCCATTGATTTTTATAGAGAGTGGAAGGGAGGGGGAGAGACAGAGAGAGAGAGAAACATCCATGTGAGAGATATACATTGATTGGTTGCCTCCTGCACACACCCCGACCAGGGCTGGGGATCGATCCTGCAACAAAGGTACATGCCTTGACCAGGAAGTGAACCTGGGACCCTTCAGTCCTTGGGCTGACATTCTATCCACTGTACAAAATCGGCTAGGGTTTCCCTTACTTTTCCTAAACTTCTTCCTTCCTACTGATAATAAAGCCCAAGGCCACAGTGTAGGACTAATGCTTTTGACTTGTATTTATCAGCACAAATCAAAGCAAAGAAACAAGCAGCTTTGCTGGGCAGACGTGGTCATCATGTTCCCCTGCTCAGTGAGGCAGAGTGGGGAGCCATCCATTGCTCAGGACTCCCAGTTGCTAATTTTACAGCTTGGCATTTCCTAAGTAGACATGCATAAGGCCTCTCGGGCCCATATCTTGGCAAGGCAGCAGTGCATCCCTGCTCTCCGAGTCCGGCGATGCCGCCCAAGGATGACAAGAAGAAGAAAGATGCTGGAAAGTTGGCCAAGAAAGACAAAGACTTGTTCATGGGGGGCAAGGGCAAATAGAGGAAGTGGTCCAAGGGCAAACAGAAGTAGTGGTCCAAGTTCAGGACAAGCTCAATAGTCTGGTCTTGTTTGAAAAAGCCACATATGACAAGCTCTGTAAAGAAGCTCCCAACTACAAGCTTGTAACCCCAGCTGTGGTCTCCCAGAGGCTAAAGATTCATGGTTCCTTGGCCAGAGCAGCCCTTCAGGAGCTCCTTAGTGAAGGGCTTATTAAACGAGTCTCAAAGCACAGAGCTCAGGTGATTTACACCAGAAACACCAAAGATGCGGTCGCCCCAGCTGCTGGAGAAAATGCATGAACAACAGATCTCACTGGCTGTACATTTTGAAAAATAAACCTTTATTAAATAGGGGGAGAGAGAGAGAGAGAGAGAGAGAGAGAGAGAGAGAGAGAGAGAGAGGGAGGGAGAGAAAGAGAGGCATAAGGCAAAGTGACTTGAAGAATCTGTGACTTCTTTGTAACTTTTTGTTCTTTTGTTGGCTAGAGAAAGCAAAGCCTTTTCTAAAATGCAAAGGACACTCTAGCATAAAAGTCACCTGCTGTGATTGATGCTGACTTCCTGGGTTTCCTGGGATATTCCAAAGTCAGTTCCATCATACCAGCGTTCTGTGAACTCAGTGGTTCTCAAACTTGAGCTTGCATTAGAATCACTTAAAGAGCTTGTTATGCCACAGATTTCTGGGTTCCACCCCAAGAGTTTTGGATCCAGTAGGCTGCTGTTCTGGGGACCCCTGCAATCTACACAGCTCTCTGCAGGCCAAGCCCCTTTGGTTGCTACTATGCCCTTGCTGTTCGTTTGGAAACTTGTGTCCCCCCCGGCTTGCTTCAGGCATGACACACGTGCCCTCTTATTTTGGGGTCCTATCACTTGGGGTCATAACCTATTGCCATTTGTTGTGCTTTCATCATTGCGAAGCAGGCCAGTGATGCTGGAGCTCCCCTCGCCAGCATGTTCATGATGGCCACTCCTGATGGCCTTGCTTACTGGTATGTCCTCTGTGCTTTCTGTGGAGCATCATCCTTTGGTTGCTCTCAGGCCTCAGCCTATCCACATCCCTGAGCCTTTCCATCCTTTCTTCCTCAATCTCCCAAGACAATTCTGCCATTCCAACTGTGCTTAGTACGGGCCATTGCTATTTCCATGCTTCTAGAAATCGTCCTAGTAACAGAGGACAGACGCCAGCTCCTAGTGGTCTGGCCAAAGTATATCGCAGGAGAGTGTTCCCCAACTAGTAAACTCTCCCTTGTCCAATGATATGTTCCAGCTTCTCTCCTTCAAGCAGCCTCAGATGCTAGTCACCCTGCTACTGCCCTTGCACCTGCCTGTATATGTTGGCTGGGCCTTGCTGCTCCTTTGGTGTAGAGTCTGTTTTCTCCCAGCATGTCCTGCAGTGATTATGCTGTGACTTAATTCTGTTTATGGGCCTAGAAGCCAGGAGGAGAAGTTGGGGGAGATCTTGAGGGGGGCACATGCTTGTCTGTAAGGGGGGAAACTGCAATGATACAAAGCAAAAGGGACATGCTATCTCCAAGAGAATTCAGGATTTATAGGGCAAACAATAGCCCCGATTTGCCCAGGATTGAATAGCTTTTAGCACAGAAAGTCCCACATCTCAGAAAACCCTTCAATCAGCAGAGACGAGGACAGTTGGTCTCCCTAGGAGTCTGGGGATTCAAAAATAGATGTTTCTATCCCAAGTGTGTGTCAGGGTCCCATTTTTCCCAACTAGGCTGGGATAACGGGTCTGCTGGGTTGGAAATTTAATTGTCTTTGGAGATCACTAGATTTAGTCCTGGGCTTGGACCTCAACTGCAAATTATGGGAATCTCCCTGTAAACTACCAGGGAGATCCTCTGACTTTCATATTTGGCTTTCAATTGCCTGTTACTTGCCTGCAGCTTTTCATTATTTTTAGGATGTCAATGGCTCTTGGCAATACTCATCCAATCCCATTGTCCTTACAGTTCTACCTTAGTTCTCAGCACCTGATAAATTTCTTTATATATATATATATATATATTTTTTTTTTTATTGATTTTTTACAGTGAGAAAGGGAGAGAGATAGAGAATTAGAAACATTGATGAGAGAGAAACATCGATCAGCTGCCTCCTGCACACCTCCTACTGGGGATGTGCCCACAACCAAGCTACATGCCCCTGACTAGAATCAAACCTGGGACCTTTCAGGCCGATGCTCTATCCACTGAGCCAAACCAGTTAGGGAAACACCTGATGAATTTCACCTGCTAGTGCATTCCTACCCATGGATATGTCTTTCCATTTTATCACCCAACGCACTGCCTTCTTGGGCCAGGGGATACCGTGTTCCATCTACCACCAATTGGGTCCTCATTGCCTACCTGGCAGCTAGTGATTTGACTCCAGATTCCTGTTTTATTGACTGCTGTCTGGGACCACTCCTAGATGAATTGCTGTAGATTGGGTTCTCTGGAAGCAGATGCGGAGTTGATTTTAGTGTGCAGGGCGCTTTTTTAGAGATGCACACCTGTGGAATGGAGAGGGCGAAAGGACTGTGGTGCAGGTCCAAAAACACTCAGTTCACCCACAGGGAGGTCTGGAGCACATATGGCCCATTAGCATTATCTTCCATTTGGCTGAAATGGCAGGGTTTCCCTACCCTGCCTCCCTCGGTCACTGGATGTGAGCTGCCCAGGGTTGGGCATGTTCCTGAGTGAGGAGGCTTCTGCGCAGGGTCTACTCCAGGCTGAGAGCTGGGGCAGCCATTCCTTTCTCGAAAGGGGATGTGGGCAGTGTGTTTCCCCTGCCCACACCAGGAAGGAAGCTGGTGACTTTTATTCAGATTTCTTACTATTCATTTATTTATACTAGTAGGCAGGGAATCTATGTAAATGGCAAGATAATATTTAAGTTATTAATTTATGTTTTCTTCCTTAATTTTACCTTACTCCTTCCCTATTTTGGGGCAGTGATCTCTCATCTTTCCCCATTTCAGGGGAGTTTAATTCCACTCTTTTCTGGGTTTTCTCCTGGAAACCAAAAAAACTAGTATGCTGAGAATAGAGTTTGAAGAGAAGGCCATTTATTTCAAACTAAAAAAGATGCTCTAGAATGGTAGGTCCATAAGGAATACAGACACACTTGTTGTCTGTGGTATTTCCCTGTATGTGTAGCAGATATCCGAGGGAATGGTTTCCCAGTGAATATGGGAGGCAGGACTGTCTGTGTTCTGGTCCTGGCTCAGAAGCAGCGGAGTGGTGGGCTTAGAGATCCATGTGCTGACACAGTGGTGTCTGGGCAGAATTTTCAATCACGGCCACCACCACATTGGTACTGTATACAACTCCAGGGCTTTGAAACAACCTGGAAATAGAAAAGGTAACAGAAGAATGTTGCAAGAATAGCTTCAAATTTCCAACTTGCCAGTTGGGATGGAAGCATGGCTTTAGAAGTTGATTAGATGAACATAAAGAGATGTGATATTTCTTGCACACCTATGTGTATGGACTGCTTTGCACAGTAAAAAAAAACAAAAACAAAACAAAACAAAACCTCAATCATATCAGCCCCCCCCCCCCCTTTCTCTTAATTGCTCAGGTCCTCGAAGCCTCTCCGTTCCTTCCAGACATACCTTCTATGTCCTTAGACCATCTGGACCACATATTGCCAGGTGGATGCTGAGAGGATGTTAAGCGCTTTATGCAAAGCCTCCCTCAGCCCCTCTCTCATCCATCTCAAAGCCCACACCAACCCACCTCCACACTATTTGTTTGTTCTTGTACTGATCAAACCTCACCTCTAGCCCATGAGTATTTTTTTAATAGCAGCACTTTAGAAAAAATTTAACTCCATCCCTTTCTTGTTTCTATCCTCATTTTCCCCACTCACATTTATGTTCCTTTTCTTCATATCGCTTATATATGTTTTCCTTATTTTCAATGTCCACATGTTAGGTTCTTTGAGAGCTCTCATTGTAAAACAATGGATTAAAATATTTGTCATTAGAAACTTCAAAATGCTATTTTAAAAATGAGCTCTGAAAATGAATAGAATTTACTAATAACTGATTTTAGAATTTTGACCAGTATTAAAATGGATTTTATTTGCATTAATATCAAGCAGAATTAAAGCTAGAAGAGAAAAAGTACATGTTTCAAAACCTCACTAAGAATATCCTGGAAAAAAAAAAAAGTTGAGATTTATTCATGTCACAGGTCATCTAATGGGTCTCATTCAGATGTTGATCATGCTTTAAAGATGATTCCCATTCATAAAACTCTGACCTTATCAGCCGTTTCAGACACACTGAGTAATAGCAGGGTTTCTGCTGCAAGGGAATGCATTTCCTTAATTATTCCTTCAGTAATTCAAGACTCTGGCATTTTCATGCTATCTCTCCTCAGTAATACCCCGTTTCTCCATTCTTAAGCACTCTTTCACTTTACACACACTACCCTTTTCAGCTTTCTGTGATATTTATGCATCCATCCATCCATCCATCCATCCATCCATCCATTTATCTCTCCATCCATCCAATACATAGGCTTGAGTGTCTGCCAAGTTAAGCTCCAATGCAAGCAGAGCATTTGAGGTATAGCAATGAGTGATGGAAGAGAAAGAAGTAGAACATGAGATTTGTGAAGGAATGAGAGAGGTGGACATTGGATGGGATACTACTGTTATCAGTGGAAGTTAGACTTCTTGGGGTGCCACTAGGAAAAAAATTTTCTGAGGCTCCCACTGGAGGATGGAGTTTCATGGAAAGTTTTATTGATGATGTAAAATTAAGGGAGTTCCATTCCACAGTCCCATTTCTAACAATCTTGCCATAGAAGAAGTCCAGCAGTGTCTTCAGCAGGGCCAGAATAAAGGTCAATGTCCATAGTTTCTTCTCCTTATTAATGTCCAGTCCAGTCCAGTCCAGTATCTGGCCAGGTTAGCTTGTGTTCCCAGGTGTAGCCCATGGTATATGGGGTAGGCATGGCCATGAGCCATATGGTTGCTTAAGGCCACATGACTATGGAGAGAGAATGTGCGAACACACAGGGAGAGTAGGGGTCACAGAACAAGAGAGAACAAAGAGAGAAGAAACTCTTTGTTTGGGGATTTTAGCCAAGAGCGTCTTCAAACTAACCAATTAACTATCCAAGATTTCACAGGCTTCTGAAATCTTGGGGTCACCCCCTCACCAATCTATGTGCATGCGCCCATCTTCCCCTTTATTGGACCCCTTCCCCCAGTGATTTGCAGGGAATGGACCAGTGGTTCCCTTGGGGAGCATGAAGCTACAGCTGTCCAGATGACCATGCTTAACATGC